CCGCTTAGAGCTTTCTACCACACCACGTCACAAAACCCACCGCTAGAAAAACCACAAAAGATAATTCCAGCAGAACAAAACACAATTTAAATAAGCAGAAAAGAAGCAGAAAAGAAGAAAACAGCGAAACCAATATTAACGCTAACAGAAGAATACTTATCTTAATTTTGTGCCGATCATCTTCCAACATGTCAACTAGTCAGACTATTCACTACAGGACAACATGACCTCCAAAGAAAGAACATTCGTCTTAACAATCTTCCGACGATCCCCCACCAAGCCATCAAACCATTAACTGTCGAACGACATGCTCTGAAAAAAATTTTTAATAGCTTTATTAATAAATTATTTATAAACAACTTCAAATAATAACATTAAGCGTAGTAAGATAAAACAACACAAAAGGTAAAATAAAGACTTGAAACAGTACCAATTTCACTAACGAAACGAAAACAAACCAACAAATGTGAGAAAACAAAAGTCCCTACCTATATAAATTATCTTACGCCTTAGCCTACCTATGTAATAAATTACCTTATGCCTCAGCCTACCTCACGTAGAAAGAAACAGAAAAAAAAAAAGAAGAAAAAATACTGCAATAGAAACAAACATTGTATGCGTGTACGTACGCACGAGCAGCCGCCAAGAGCTTTCTGCAACACCCCGTCACAGAACTTCCCGCTAGAAAAACCACCGAAAATTAACTACAACAGAACAAAAATACAAATAAAACAATCAAAAATATTTAAAGATAACCAGAAAAGAAGAAAACTGCAAAACTAATATAAAGGCTAACACAAAACACTTATCTTAAATCTGTGCCGTTCATCTTTCAAACCGTCAAACTATTCACTGCAGGACAACATTCGCTCAAAAAAACTCTCGTGTTAATCTTCTGACGATGATACTCCAAGCCATCAGACTATAACTGTAGATCATCATACTCTGAAAATAATTTTTTATTGCTTTATTAATAAATTATTTATAACCACATGAATAAATAACAATTAGTGTAGAAAAAAAGTAAAAAAATTAGTTAAACCAGTACCAATCCCACCAATACCAAGCCGCACCGCATACCTGTAGAGTGTATGATGCAAAACAAGACAAACGACACAACAAAAAACAGAAGAAGAGTGAGAAGACAAAAGTCCCTTCCTACCTATGTTATTAACGCTAATAAAAGAATACTTATCTTAGATTTATACCGATCATCTTCAATACCGTCAAAATATTCACTGCAGGACAACATGCGCTCAAAAAAAACTCGTCTTAGCAATCTACCGACGATCACCCTCCAAGCCATCAGACCATTGACTGTAGGATATGATGCTCTGAAAATAATTTTTAATTGCTCTATTAATAAATTATTTATAAAAACTTCAAGCAGAAAATAGCGAAACCAATATAAACGCTAATAAAAGAATACTTACCTTAATTTTGTGCCGATCATCTTCCAAATCGTCAGACTATTCACTGCAGGAAAATATGCGCACAAAAGAAAACTTGTCTTAATAATCTTTAAAGATTTATTTAAAACTTATCAAACGCAACTTAATACCGCAACCGAATGTTCCTTTATTAATTTTAATTATTATAAAAAAAATTAAATTAATATTAAATAAAAACTAAGTCTAAACGACTTAGAACAAAATCATAAACGACTAAAACTTGAGCTTTTCAGTCTGTATTTATAGGCTTCTTTCCATACATTCTTATCAGCGTATATTCCAAGTCATTAATTAAATAATGAAAAACTATGAATACATATTTTAAGACCTCCTTTTAACGCTGATTGGTTCGAAAGTATAAATCACGCCATAGTGCTGTTAAGTTTGTAGGAAGGAAAAAATTTTTGACAATCCTTCTTTAAAACGTGTTTACTAATTGTAGTTCACTAAAAAAATCACGCCACGCTCTACAGTTCAACGCTTCAAATTTGTCAAATTCCTTAAATGCACACAGATGTTGAATAGGGTAGAACCACTATATTACAACAATTCTGAACGGCAACAGCAATTTGTGATCAATTGATTATCTCTATTCTGATTATAATTTATGAAGTTTGTTAATTGTCAGATAAATAAATAATTGTAAATAATATCACGTGCCGTGATTTTTCTGTCAGAGGTAGAAAATCTGTGGCCATCCTTTTAATAAAACGTGTTCAGTTCACTATTTGTAGTTGTAACTACAATTTGTAGTTTCAACTACTACGCAATTGTACACGTTCAGCTTGCCAACCAGAAAGCCATTAAACATTTAAAGTAATAATAATAAATATTGCAATCCTAAAAAATACTGTTCTACTATTATTATTATTCATACTACAGAAGCGCGTTACTAACAGTTTGTTACATGTACATACATGTACTGGCCGTACATATTCGTGCACTGTTTTCTTCTGTTGCTTTTATTTATTGTTAATCAGTAATTAAAAACTGATTAATATTGTTAATTAATCAAATGCATCTATGTACGTATGTCAAATTAATTTAGATATATAATTCACATTAATTTAGATATCTGCTAGTACGAGCGTTCTGCTATTAACTTTATTCTAAGGTGAATCTCGGACCGTCTCGTTTACAAGCTCCCGGGAAAAAGTAAAGAAGATCGAGAAAGAAGCAAAGAAACAAAAACTAACATAGACTAAGTCAGTGGCGTCACTAGGGTTGGTGTCACCCCTCTCATGACACCCCATAGACATACAGCATTCTTAGCAAAATTTATAAACACGAACAAGTTAAATGTGCTCGGCCGCGGCGCTTAATAATTCAGACGTCGAAGTTGAATGGTATAAATGTCGAATACAAAAATGATTTGAACGAAAAAAATTTTATTCATAACACAATTCTGGGCGCTGGGCGGGTTAGGCTGAATTAATGATAAGAATAATTTCATGGAGGGACATAAAAACATATACAGTGATATTTTGGTGTCACCCCCTGTGAGGGTGTCACCCGGTGCGGTCCGCACCCCCCTAGTGACGCCACTGGACTATGTAACATTGAAAATTGCAATAACCTTTAATAATAATTAATATATAAAATAGTCAATAAATAAATGATTGATCTCTACATATCTAATTGAATGTAAAATTACAAATATTAAGTAGCAACATAAACATGTCAATTCCAGTGAATGATATAAAGGAGTGTGTGCGCGTCTGTAATTGTTGAAATTTATACGTTCGAATAACAAATTTTTCAAACTATATCATTTCAATAAAATAAATCAGAAGTAGCAGCAGTAGTAATGGTAGCAGTTATGATACAGATTATCAGTAATATCAGCAGAAGCAGTAGTAGCAATTTTTTAGTATTGCAGTAATACATACCTAAGATGTATGTTAATACTGGTTAGCATACATGTGCACGTTTTGTCAAAAGAGATTGTTAAAAAACTACGTTAAAAATCTCTCAACGGAAGAGAACACCAGTCAAGTTGTGCAGTAGTAGTAGTAGCTCGTACGCGTTTCTTTTCGCTTGATAAATTTTAGCAGCCGTAATAGTAGTAATACTAATAGTTGTAGTAGTAGTAATATTTTTTAGTAGTATTATAGTTAATACCTAAAATGTATGCCGGCATGACAATGGAATGTGGCTGGCATGCCGAACGTGTACACGTCTCCGTAAAAAAAGCATAATTTTTTGCGTACGACTTATAGCGCCTTAATAATTTTATTTAAAATCTTATACAATAAACCATAATAGTAATTTTAGCAGTAGTAATAATTTTTGTAGAAGTAGCATACAAATAGCATACTGGCGTTTAAATTTTTCTATAATTCCAATGTGGTTTATATTTCAAATTACATATATGATTATCATCAATCAATCAATTAATCAATTACCTTGTAAAGCGCTATTTCCGCGATGTTCAACAGCGCTCTTCAATGAATTTTGAAAACAGATGGGTCTTGAGATCCGATCTGAACTTTGTAAGTGATGGAGAAGTAGTCAGAGATGTAGGTAGAGAGTTCAAGAGAAAAAGGCCAGAAAAAGCAAAAGCAGATTTGGCAAGTGTTTAGCACGAGTTAAGAAGAAGCGAAAACAAAAAGACGATCGTAAACAGGGGCATTTAGGTTCAATTAATTTATCTGATAAATACTTAGAAAATAATTTAGATTGAGACTTATACATAAACGTGCAAATTTTAAAAATTATTCTATATTTTAAAGGTAGCCAGTGCAAGAGAACAAGATATGGAGATAAATGAGAAAAGAAAGGGGCACGAGCAACTAGAGGAGCAGCAGAGTTAAAAGCTTAACTTAAAGGATAGAGTATAGAATCACTTATTTTGTCAGAATCGTCATCTTTTCATTTGAAGACGAGCGTGAACATATAAGATGAATATGAACACAAATATAAACTAAAACATGAAAATAATTTTTAATTGCTTCAATAATAAATTATTTATAACAACTTGAAATAATCACATTAACAACAAGTAAAAAAAAATACTTAAACAATACATTAACTTTCATAAGGTAACGAACGATTTCTTGTGACTATAAAATATAATGTGTTGTTAATTCAAATAAATCGTAAAAATGTATGACATGATGTGAAAGTTAAAATACGTAGTGCAAATTTTCAGCTTCAACACCTGTAAACAAATTATTATGACTATTGTAAAAAATTGTTTTCAAATGATTCCTAAAAAATAAATTTTACCAAATATTAGCCGACATCAAACAAAAATTAATTCTATAAAACAGAATCAAACAGAAATTAAGAAATGAATAGGATAGTATCATAAAATGAATTAAGATACTTTAAAAATTTTGAAAAATTATCAATTTGATTCCATTGATTGCGATATCGATGATGATGATTGTGACCTGACTAATTAAAAAACATCAAAGAAAACTATTAAAATATAATGGGCCATGCGTTACAAAATCGTTTGAGGAAATGACTTAATGCTAACAGTAGATATTTAACTGTAAGGTAGTGAATTCACCTGTATTCAATTCATATTAGATCAAACATTACCAAATAACATACGCAAACAAAACTAAATAAAGAAATAGAAAAAAGATATTTGTAGTTATTATATATATCTTTCGTAATTTTCTGAAACAATTTTCTTCTCAGCAACATCTCAAACTTTTCAATAACTATCTTTCGAACTCTTCAGAAACCAATTTCTCTTCAAAAAAAATATCTCAACTATTATTCAAACTCTTCTGAAACAATTTTCTCTTCAACAATATCTTAAACCCTTCATAAACTAAAACTATCTTTTAAATTCTTCAGAAATAATTACAAACTCTTCGACACGTTGATAATTCAAATACTTTAGACACTATGGCAAACTCAGCAACTATCTTTCAAACTCTTCAGAAACAATTTTCTCATCATCAATATCTTAAACTTTTCAGCAACTATCTTTGATATCATTAAAATGTAATACAGGTTAGATTTTCAAAAAATGGTAAATTACAGATTAAATTCATTTTTAAAATAGATAAATCAGTTTCAAACAAAAAAACTTGAAGTACGAAAGGACGATCAGCCATTGACAAAGTTGAATGTTAAGAGACTTACATAAGAACGCTAGAAATTCTGATATCTAAAAATAAGATATAATTCTGGTAAGAAAAATATTAAAAATTTGCTAAACTTTATAAAACTCGATAAAACACAGTAAAACATTGTATAAGTCTATAAAACACTGTAAAATTGAGTTTTACAGCTTCACAGTGTTTTACCCTAACCCTTGAGGGTTCTACCCTAACCCTTAGGGGCTTTACAGGGTTCATAGAAATGTACATTTTATAGAATTTCATAGTTATACAGAGTTCTATAGGATTTATCGAGTTTGTTAGAACGAGTTTGTTCGTCAGCAACTGTAAATATCAAACTTTTGAGAAACAATGTCATACGTAAAACATTGTATAAGTCTATAAAACACTGTAAAATTGAGTTTTACAGCTTCACAGTGTTTTACCCTAACCCAGGGTTCATGGAATTGTACATTTTATAGAATTTCATAGTTATACAGAGTTCTATAGGATTTATCGATTTTGTTAGAGCGAGTTTGTTCGTCAGCAACTGTAAATATCAAACTTTTGAGAAACAATGTCATATTCGACAACTATATTTCAAGCAGTGAGTTCAACAGAGTTGTATTGAGTATTATAAATTTTTATAGAGTTTAATATTTTTCAAACTTTCCAGAAACAATTTTATCTTCAACATTATCCAAAACACATCAGAAACTAACTTTGAAACTCTTCAGAAACAATTTTCTCATCAAGCCCTTCAGCAACTATTTTCATTGCAATGATATTTCAATTTCCTTAGGAACAACAGCAAGCGATCTTTCTAAACAATGGTTCACTCGTCAGCAACTGTAAATAAATATCAAACTATTAAGAACAATGTAATATTCGATAACTATATTTCAAACTCATCAAAACAAAATTACAACTTCTTTTCCGAA